TCATAATTATTTATTTGCTTTTGTCGAATAGGAGTTAGAAAAATTAGATTAAATCCTAAAGTATAGTTTTGTTGGGAACGATATCCGAATTCAAATGTCCACTATACTACTTGTTACGAAATCGTACACTTACGATATAAAAAACGCAACAAGTTTTTGGCGTCATTGTCAGGAACTATTTACTTTTAGTCTTAATTTATTTTATTTTTAACTGATATTTGATTTTATTTCATTTTGCTTTCTTTTATTAAAAAACAGAGTTTGTGGTATGCTCCGTACCCAAAGCAACGATTTTGAATTGTTTGACTCGAAAATATAACTTACTTTCAAACGAAAATGCAAGGAACAAAACAAAAACAGTAATATCAAATGGTTGACGATCAAAATATTCATATTTCTATTCAAGTAATTGGACAAGTGGCCGCAAGAGTAGTGGCGCTACCGGATCAGCAGCAGGAGCGAGGGGAAATAAACGAATGAGACTTGCCAGTTTTAATGTTCTAGACGCTAATAGCCGCGCCTACACACTCCAGTATTGTGTATCCAGATTTCGGGATAAATAATTTTCAGATTAAAGTAAAGTGGATCAATTTGATGAGTGGCACTCTCTAATTCTACGGGCTACCTCATGAAAATCCCAACACATATATTTTCAGATTTCTCAAAAATTGTCATAACTTCCATACTACGGGGTTAATGAAGACGCTATTAAGTTGCGATTATTTCTATATACATTGAGAGATGCTGCATTAGAGTGGTTAAACACCGAACCTTTTAGAAACATTACTGCATGGGAAGAATTGATCGGAAAATTTTGCAGCAAATTCTTCCCACACGCGAAAGTAGCTAAAATCAGATTGAAAATTCAAACTTTCCAATAGAAAGATGGAGAGAGCTATCACGAGGCATGGAACGGAATCCAAGATTTGATGTGAAAATGTCCAAATCGTAGAGTCACAATAGGTAATCAAGTGCAGTACTTCTACACCGGACTCACCACTATCAAAATCTTAAGTGGAGTCCTCTGTGGTGAATCAATCATAGAAAA